TAGGTCAACTTAAGGAGGCAGTTAATGTAGGGAGGTGGTCAACTACAGAGGTTCTACTGTATATATCTGATAAGGTTAATATCTAGATACATAAAGAACTAAAACTTAATAATTAAAAAAAAACCTGATTAAAAATCAGGTAAAAGGCCAGGCACTGTGGCATGCAACTACAGTTTCAGCTACTTGGGAGGCTGATGCAGAAAGCCTGCTCAAGCCCAGAAGTTCAAGGCCAGCCTGGGCAACATAATGAGACCTCGTCTCTAAAGAAAAAGAAAATGGATCTGAATAGATATTTCTCTAAAGATGATATACAAATGGCCAACAGGTACAGCTGTTCTTCCATATCCTTGAGATCTTCTCGCCTCAGCTTCCCTGAGTAGCAAGGACTCTAGGCCAGCACCACCTCACCCAATTAATTTTTCTTTTTAGTAGAGATGTATCTCACTCTTGCTCAGGCTAGTCTGGAACTCCTGAGCTCAGGCAATCCACCTGTCTCAGCCTCCCAGAGTGCTGGGATTATAGGTGTGAGCCACCATGCCCCACTGAATTAGCATCTTTAAGTATAAGAATGAAGCTAAGTGCACATACAGTATGTAGTTGAATACAGTATCTTGAAACATGTTTTATAATTATCTTTACATAGTTTGGTGTGTTAAAAGCTTGAAGTGGGCAGTCAGTTTGACTGACAAACTGTGCCACAAGAAAGTAGCCGTTAAAGCTACAGCCACCTCCAAGCAGCTCTGCAGGTACCAGCAGTACTAGCAGCAGCCCCTCCGCTTACCCCAGTGTACCTTATGGCCAGCCAGGAGTGAGGGCAGTCCAGGCAGAGGATTTCCTCATAGAGGGAGAATGAAGAACACCAAGAGCCGACAATCACCAACTTATCCAGGAGAAAATCAATGCAAAGGAAAAAACGTGCAACTAGTATATAAAACAACTGTGCTCGTAGATCCCTTTTCCCAAAGCATCGTCCCAAAGTGGTAACATTAGCTTAGGGTGAAGAGTCAAAAATGAAGTTATGCAACTAAAACGAATTAAAAGGGATACTGAAAAAAAAAGTAGTTTTCTATGAAAATTTACCAGATAAACACTGCCAAGAGGGAAGAACATACAAACCAGAGAGCTGGCCGGTAGCGGTGGCTCATGCCTTTAATCCCAACACTCTAGGAGGCATGGAGGGTGGATCGCCTGAGCTCAGGAGTTCGAGACCAGCCTCAGCAAGAGTGAGACACCCCCGCCCTCTCCACCAAAAACAGAACAAGAAACCTAGCTGGGCGTGGTGACAGGCGCTTGTAGTCCCTGCTACTCCGGAGGCTGAGGGAGGAGGATTGCTCAATTCGGAGTTTGAGGTTGCTGTGAGCTATGATGACGCCACTGCACTCTACCCAGGGCAACAGAGAGGGACTTGTCTCAAAAACAAAAACAAACAAAAAACCAACAGAGAGCGCAAACGCTAGGACGTTGTAAATTCGGCAAAGCACGAGGCACAGGCTAGAAAATGCAAACTATTAAGAATCTACCTCCCTGAGAAGCCAGCAGGCTAAGCCCGGAACTTAATGGAAGGAGTAAATAGCTGTCATCCGCGGCAGTAAAACAACTCCCTTGAGCCGCTGGGTGTTTTGAAAGATGCTGCAGTTTCTGGTGTCACACCAGGAGGCACTCCTCGGCACGGTCTGCTCCATCGCGCCAGAGAAGGTACCCGAGCAAGTCCCTGGTCTGGGCAAGTGCCGGGCAGGCAGCGCTTCCACCAGCCGGGGACAGCACCGAGCCCCCGAGGCGGGCAAGTACGGGACAGGTAGCGCCTCCCTCGCCCTGGGCGGCCGCGAATCACCCTAGGCTGACAAGTCCGGGGCAGGAGACTGACCCCCGGGCGTGCTGCGAATCCCGCGGTGCGGCAGGGACATGGGCCACTCGCCTCGCCTCGCCCTCGCAGGCCGCGGATCCTGGGGGCGTCGGCCCCGAACCCGCGCCTGCTGCACGGCACCTGCTCCCTCCTGGACTCTGCCAAGCACCTGCCTCTCTCTCCCTCCAAAACCGGGAGGAGGACACCAAGGAGCAGCC